TACTACCCAATCATCTGCAATTTCGAAATCTTTAGGTTCATGTTGTTATTATTCATGGACATCGTTGCTAACTAACGTTTTGTTCACTATAAATGTACCGTCTGCTAAATCGGTTGTTGAGAGGCCCCGAGAGAACCCACCGAAAGGGAATAGACCGGTGAATCGAGTTAAAACTTACACCTGTAGAGAAAGACTGCAATCTTGGTTACTTTAACTTCCTTTACGCGAGGACGTGTGTGAGTAGCACATTTCTTTGTTCAGCCGCAGAATCGCGTCAAGTTCAGAACGATGTCTCGCCATCCTTACGGCGAGACTAGAAAGACTGTGTCCTTGACACGGCGAGAAGAGAGGCGAATAATCTCAGTATCTTGTAAAGTTTCCCCTGCGGTCAGTGTAAGCGCTATAATGGGGTATAGCGGAGGTTTTCACTATAAGTACAAAATATATTTTGGACGGACACTATAATTTACAGTTTTTTACCATGTTCAATCCGAGTTTTCTTTTAAATACAAAACATCTATCATGATTATGAATTTTCTACATCCAACTCACAGGTTTATCATTACTTTGAGAAAAAAGATTATTAATTTAACCCTTTTAGAAGGGAAGATATGGTCATTTGTTCTGGGAATACCATTTTCGAGCCTGAAACCTGAAAAACAGGCTTGGGGCTTAAGAATGCATTTCAAATCTATTTAGATTTATTTTTTAACAGTTCATTTGGTTTGTATTTTTAGTTTTTGGTACTTTGTCTTTAGAACTGAATTGAACAGTTTCCTAATGTTCGGAAACCATGACAACGTTCAGCTGCATAAAGTTTCAATGTTAACACTGTTCAGTTCTGTGTGTTGTTAACCTGGAACTCTTCCTCTTCTCCTGCCTCTTCCTCTTTCTCCACTTCTTGCTCCTCTTCCTCTCCTCCTGCCTCTTCTTCCTCCTCTTCCTCTTTCACCACTTATCTCTACTCCTGCTCTTCCTCTTCTTCCCCCTCCTCTGTGAACTTTTCTTCTTCATCCTCCTCGTCCATCTCATATATCTCCTTCTCATCTTCATCTTCCTCCTGTTCTCACTCCTCTTCCTCCTCCTCCTCCTCCTCCTCCTCCTCTCAGGCACGTTGGTGTGCAGCAGTAATGGGACCGGTGGCAGCAGCTCCATCTACTCGGTTGCCATGGTGTCGATCCCTGACTGCGTGGACAACGCGACGCAGACGGACATCAGTTTCGTGAACATCGTTCCTCCGGGGAGGAGCAGAGGTCACCACCATCCCCACCACCGCTCCTCCTCCCCTCCCCCTCCTCCCCCGTCTCCCCCCGCGCCTCACCTCGAAGCACCGTACGGCATCAACGAGTTGTGAGTCCTGACCTTTTGTCTTTTTGGGCGTCCTGAATAACACAATAAAGTCTCCGGACAGAAAAATCAATGCTGTCAGATGATATGATGAAGATTGATTTCCCTTTCTCTCCCCTCAGCTGTGTGTTTGAGTACAACGACCCCGACGACTACTTTGACGTCTCCAACCACGAGGTGGACAGACCGGACGACCTGGAGTACGAGGTGAGAGATCTGCTGTTGTTTAGAGAAATCACACAGGAAGCGTTGAAGCACAATTTCATAGCGTCCAAAACTGTGGTGAAAGATTTCTTTTTCCCATTGACTTGACATTGGGAAAGTGATGTCTGTAAATCAGAGTTTACTTTTAGGTAAATGAACGACCCAGTAGGAACACTTTTATAGCCTCTTTTCACACAGCCATGCAACCTTTCTCTAGTTGGTTTATACCCTAACATGTGCTCTTTACTTCCCTTCCATTGCATTTACACAAAAATCACACAGTGGTGTTAACAAAACATGTAAGTGTCATGAATGTGTGTTGGCCACTGCGCTTATTTTCTGCAATAATTCTAAAATCCAATACAATTAAAACATACTTTTTGTCCCGGGGACACCTTGCAATTCTAACTACAGAGTCGGCCTACAACAATCTCACATCCCTGCACGACTCTAGTACCAGAAACCGAAATAGCACCAATGAATTCAGAGTGGCTCTCAGCCATGTTTTCAAGTCCCGAGCCCCTTGTAATAAACTTAACACCTCAAGGTCACCCTCCCTCTGAAAAGCCTACTATCCCCATCTGCACAAAGTGATTCAGCCTGATGAATACATCTGGAATATAAACCAAAGCAGCTCCGCCAGCTGTGGTTCTTCACTATTGCCGAACAACACTGCTTACAATGAGTGTAATCAACCAAGAGGATATGAATTCAGAACAGCAAGAATCCTGCAAGTGCATCAGCTTAACATTTAAAAAAAAATTTTTTATTCAACCTTTATTTAACCAGATAAAAGGATTGAGATAAAGTCTCATTTTCAATGCTGACCTGGCCAAGAAGGCAGCAACGTTACACATAACACAAACATATAAATTACAGAGAACATAACTAAGAGAACGAAAGACGAAAAGCAGTCACTACATTGTGCACATTAGGACAGGAAGAAAGGTACTACTTATTACTGCAAGAGCAGCTGGTGGTAAGGACTTCAGACAACTTCAATTTAAAACATGCTATTGAGACAAGTGCCGTCAGTTTGAGGCCTGATTGAAGGTCATTCCAAGACCAAGGACCATAATAATAAATAAAAAGGAACTAAACCTTTAGTCAGAAAACAGACATGCTCAGAGGAAAGTTTTGTATTGCTAAATTTAGTTTGAGGGATCCCTATCTCATTTAAAGCAAGAGAGGGACTTCAGTACTTCAGTATCTTATATAAATCCATACAGAAATGAACAGAATATGACAAAAAAAGAGGTCCAGGCTGCTTGAAAGCGCTCCATCCAGCTCATTCATTTGATGGAGCAGATGTTTAAAAGCTGATCGATCCAGCTGTCCACACTGGCCCTGGGATAAATCAATCTCTCCGTGCCCAACTGAGACCCAAAGCTTCCTCTTCAGATGCATTTTCACACTAATGATTCGCACCTTGCTGGTTCCTTCTCCATGGCAACTGCTGCCGAGGCTCATGGGTATTGCAGTATTTAGACCGCCACGCCAAATTCACAGAAACAAAACCCATAACCTAACCCTATAAGATTGTTACTCTAGAGAGAAAACGTGTTTATTTCTCTGATCAATAACATTGAAGATGTTATTTTAATACAGAATGGAGCTTCTCTGTTTACATTGCATCTTTTTTTAAACAATAAATCTTTTAATTTGCCAAGATCAATATCAAAATATGTTTATTTCAGGACAGATACTCTGCAAAAATGCCACGTAGCACTAGAGGTGCAGAGGTTCCTAGTTTCAAAACGGAGGGTGCATTCATCTTGATACTTCTTGCAGATTTTTATGGTGACTTTAGATTCATTTAGAGGAAGCACACATTGTCAAATAATCTCCTTTTGTGACTTAGGAAGCTCATTCCTTTTATTAATATAATATACTATTCTTTCTTTCTTTTAAAATGTTCCGTTCTTCTACACCGAAGTAATCAGCAAATGTTCAACGGTGAATATCAATAACACGTGACTTGTATGCCTTTTCTAACCTAAAGTGTTCAGTTACTTGTTTAAGGGTAAATTCGCACCATTGCTTTTACTTAGGAGACGATATTTTGATAAAGGAAAGAAGGAAAAGAAGTGGGTAGACAGAGGATGAGTGTGAAGAAGAGATTATAAAAAGGAAGGGAAGGTTAGACATGATGTGGAAAGAAATGCAAAGCAAAAAGTGGAGCTGTGGACGAGGTGTGACAAAAGAATGGAAGAACAGTATAAAGAGATTTATGATTACGTGTGACAATGAATAAAGTGCTGTATGAAAAAGATGTCGGGTGATAGGACAAAGGGAAAGAAAGAGGAGGACATGAAGGACAACACGGACAAAGAGCTGAGAGACTGGATGAAATGAGACCTTTGAGGACGGAAAAGGAAAACATTGCCATATGAGCACCTGTCTGTGTATGAGAATGGCCCTGACACCATTTCAGCCCAGATTTACAAACTCCTGGCAGGACAAGCTCAAGCTCACTTCTCCCTCTGAACAGAACAAAGTGAGTGAGGGACTGCAATATAAGAGGGAAAGAAAGAGAAACTATAAAACTGTTCAATTGTTATGATGTGTAAAGACTGATATTGTTCTATAATCCTCTGAAACTGTTAAGTCATGATGTGAAACGGTTAACAAAGAAAAAGGGAAACTCAAGCTGCTGCTACACTTTATTTTATTTATCTAAAATTAAGCACTTTTAAGATGCACATATTTTCAAAAGCTATTTTATTTATGTTCTCTATTTATTTTTAAATGTAGCCCGAGAGGAACATTACACATATCCACAGTATTTACTGTATATCTGTAGAGTTCAATGTTAACCCTTTCATGCATAGAGGTCACTACAGTGGACAGCTATTCAAAAGGTGTTTTCTTCTATATGCATTGTTTTTTTTTGCATAGTTGCACCATCAGCCACTACATAGGACCCTATTGCATCATCCCATACACTGCCACTCAGTGGAAAGTCAGTGTAAGTGCATGATACATGTCTCTAAACCAAGATGGACGACAGAAAGCCACATAGACCAAAGAGGTTTCTGTATATCTGTAGAGTTCAATGTTAATTTTCTTTATTTGATTGGCAGTCAGTTGTTGATACATGCAGACGTTGATAAAGCTACAGGTCACTTTAATACATATCACACTAATTCATAAAGCAACTTAGACATGTTGATGTTACGGACCTTTGCATGGGGACATTTTCTCTAACTGGACCTCGTTGAATTTTAGTTGAATACCCCTGTCATATGTTCTCGTTCTGCGAAACCCACAGCCTTCAGAAGTGTTGAAACAAAATGACTTCTCCCAGCTGTCATGTCTGGCGCAGATGATCAGGGTGAGTGATGGTCAGCCGGTCTCAACCTTCAACAGAGACTCGTACACTACGAGTTCAGTTTACACAGACCTAATGGAGCGCTGGGTTTCGCTGAATGACACTTTTTCCTCTGTTTGTGCTCCATTGATTCTCTGCTGTTTGACACAAAATGCCAGTTTGGTCATTAGAGAAGTCAGTAAAGTGGAAACGGTTTTGTTCTTTCTGTTTTTATTCCAAAGAGACTTCCTGTTCTCTGTGAATCACCTCCTCCTCTTCCTCACTCTTCCTTATTCTTCCCTCTGCTCTCTCCATCCCCCCTCATTACTTTTCCTAATCTCCACCATCATTATATCCCTCCTAAATTACTTCCTAATGTCCTACTCTCCTTTATTCCTTGGATTACATCCTTCATTTCCTCCTTAAATCACCGCTATGCCCTCCGGCTGAAACCAGAAAAGCTGGTTGATGCTCCAACGATAATCGTGACCAAATGATCACGGGATGGTTTAATATCTTTAATTTTTCGAGACGGTATCTTTTTCTCAAGTTTGCGAAAAACCAAAGGACCCGCTTAACCTACAAATAGACTTTCAAAACAGATATATTGTTTCCACCAACTCCTGCGAGTCTTAACATCTTTTAATATCTTAAAATGTCTGCTCGTGTGATATTTTAGCAAACATTTTGTCTTTTTATGAGGATCTTTTATCGAATGTCCAGCAACACGAGCGATCAGAGCACCTGTTGGAGCCCTTAGAGTGCTGAACCTGTTTAAGCAACAAAACTACTCTGTTAGTTTCAGGAAAAAGCTTTTGGTTTTGGTTCAAATAAGTTTGCTTCAAAAGGAACCAATCATAGTAAACAGGAGGGGGGGACTTAAGAGACAGGCACTAAAACAGCTGCTCTGATTGGTTAGCTGGCCGGCTCTGTTGTGATTGGTCAACCGCTTAGAGATGTCCGACCCCTTAGCCTATCACGTACAATGTGTTGGAGCGCTAGCCATTAGAAGCACAAGTGTTACATAGTGATGTTACCGAATTCAACACAGTGATTTTAGCCTTTGCAGACCATTGACATGCACAAAAACCTATATGACCCTACAGGAAAGAGAAAACCCACCAAAAAAGCCAATGAGAGGGTCTCTTTAAGTACGAACAATTCTACAAGAAGCCATATCGAATATCCTAATTAATATCAGGCTAGAACATAATCACATCTTCCATCAGAGACCGTGGTATTCTCTTGGTTGATTGTACTTATTGTCGGTCACTTTGGATACAAGTGTCAGCTAACTTGCACCGTGAGAAGCCATGTTGTCATCGAGCGTTAACCATCGCCTTTCTCCTGAAGTGCACTTATTAACTTCCAGGTTTGAAGCCCACCTGAAAACCAGTGCAGCCCTTAATAAACCAGTTTCTGACCTTAATCACTCTTTACTTCCCTTGTTTACTAACTAGGAGGTGGAGCTGTACAAGTCCAGTCAGCAGGAGAAGCTCGGGCTGACCGTCTGCTACCGGACGGACGACGAGGAGGACCTTGGGATTTACGTTGGAGAGGTGAGAGTCATCTTCATTCATTCACCCTTCAACTGACTCCTATAGCCTTTCACTCACTTATTTCTCACTTGTTTGGGAAACATGTTTGCATTGATACAGCTCATAAAAGGTGATACGACTCAATTTCTTATATCTTTTTATTCTAAAATGTATAACATGCATCCATTAATCACTTTATTCATTATCCTTTGAATCATTCATTCAACCCATTACTCTTTCTGTAGATTCATTCAGCCATCATTGATTTATCTGTTTCCTAATTCATGAGTTCATTTATTTATCGATGCGTTTCCTACGTGATTTGTTTATATTAATCCTTCTCTACTTTAATTTTAGGTAAATCCAAACAGCATAGCAGCAAAGAACGGACGCATCAGGGAGGGGGATCGAATCCTACAGGTATACACATTTACTTTTAATCAAATTCCCATGAAATACAACATTTTACTCAAGTTTTAAGTGTATTTTAACTTGTGAATCGCACTGGGAATGTGTTGAAGTCTGAGAAACATCTCTGAGTCTAATGCAACCAAAATACAAGAAACACATTGTAAATAAATCCTGAAATCTAATATTATTTGTCCGACTTTTGTTAAAATTACAAAATGAACTATTACCAGAACGTTATTATTATTGTTTTTATTTTATTGTGGTCATTTAAAGTGTCCGAAGACACACAGTTTAACTTGTTATGTAGATAAACTCACAACGACATGCCAAAAAATAAATAAAAACAATTTATTTTCCATCATTTGGCCACATTTGTTCACTTTGTCATGCTCCCCAGAGGTCAAACCGTTTTTATTTGAATAACAACTACTCATTTTTTAACTTCTCCCTCATTATAAACTTTAGACATTAAGTTATTTTAAGTCATCAAAGTTAGTTTAAGCCAATAACTGATGAAATAAATATCAAAAGTTGACCTTCAGGGTAAACTATAGTACGTTTCCTGCAGGCTGATAATACAAACTTGTCCTCTGCTTAATGATCTGGCTCTATGGGGGCTAGAAACAGTTTCAATCAAACTATGTAAATGTATAGCTGGGACCCCCGGGGACACTTTCAACCAATCAGAGAGAGCCGTCAGCAGCCCAGTTACTGCTGTCCTAAAAATAGACAGAAAGAGAGAGAGCGAGAGACAACGTGTCACTCTGTTCCCACCCCACCACTCAGCTCTGTCTGTCACACTATAGAAAGATATGATCACATTGTTATCTGGCTTTGAAAAGATCCAGCATTCAATATTTCTATCAACTCACCGCAGTGATCCAGTCTATGTTCACACACCTCGCATGCTGACAAGCTCCTGACATC